CCATGCCATCGTGTCTCCATGCCATCGTGTCACCCCTCGTGCCAGCCCAGCCAGCTCCGTGCTGCTGTGCCACTGCCCCACGTCCCTCACACCCTCTGCAGCTCTACCACAGACAGTCCACGCTCAGAGTTGGTCCCTGTCCGCACTGCCCACGAGGAACTTGGCTGCTGTGGCCCTGCCGTTCATCGAGCCCTGGAGCTGAGCCTGGGCTGGCTCCTTCCCTCAGCCAACCTGCTGGTTTGCTCCCACAATCTCCCTCCCCTGCAGCAAGGGCTCACTCACACCAGGGCAAACACTGGTGAGCAGAGCTGGGAGGGACAGGCTGGATTGCCCTGCTCTTTCACTCCTGCACAAGGGATGCACCCACAGCAGTGATTCCCCTGGCACCCAACAGCAGTGACTCCCTTGGGACCCAACAGCAGTGATTCCCTGGGGATCCAACAGCAGTGACTCCCTTGGGATCCAACCCAGGAGTCATGGGTGAGATCCAAGGGACCACTCATCACATGTGCTTTCAATAGTTTCTGTCTCCAAACTGCCATGATAAAGCCTTTTCCTTTAATGCCACAATCTCCCTCAGACAAAAGGCCTAAAACCAGCAGCTATTTCTGTTTGCACTACAGCAGTTTCCACACTCAAACCAATGCATTTTATTTGCATCCATGGCGATTTAATTCTGTGGAGTGCCCAAAGGATGCACTGCAGTGCTGTGATGGGCCTGATCCTGGGTTTGAGGCTCTAAAGCAGTCAAAAATAAAGCCCAACCCTCCAGCCAGTGCCAGATCTATATCCCCATCAGAAGGGGTTAGCTGTGGCAGGAGACTGCAGACCTGGTGCCCTGCACATCTCCACACACACACACATCAGGCTGTTTGTGAGTGCAAAATTCTGCCCATGTAACTTTTCATGCATTCCTACCCGTTGACAGACCTTGGGAAGGCAGTTAAGTGACACCCAGGAAAATCCCTCCGAGCGCAGCCTCAGTCTGACCAAATTTCATCCTGTACCCCCAATGATGTTGAGCCTCACCAAGGCAAATGCTTCTCCCACATGCCACTTGCCCATAGAAAATAAGAGGAAAGAGCCTCAGATGATAGGACAGGAATTGCTGGGAGACACGGGACCAGCTCTGAGACCCATACACCTGGGGCCACTGGCCCTGCAGGAGGTGCCCCCAGCCCAGCCACAGTGCCAGGCTGCAGAGTGACAGCTGTCAGCTCCTGGTTGCCAAAGGCACCAGACGATTTTGGTTTTCCTGGCTGCTTTCCCTTCTGAACAGCCAGTGCTGTGCCCCTGGCAGCTGAACCCAGGCCTTCAATGCCCAAGCTCAGTGGGCAGCAGTACCAGGGCTCACACAGTGCTCAGGATGGGACTCACCACATCGAGAGGTTTGATTTCACCCTGTGAGGAGTCTCAGTGCAGAAACTCACGTAAGCACAGAAGTGCCTGGGCATGCAGATTTGCAGAACTAAGGTTTTCCTATGTGCTGCAAACACACATCAAGGATCTTCACGTGTATACAGCACCTCAAATTGCTAAGGTAGTTTACAGGTTATAGATACACAGAGCATTGTCAACCAGGTCCTGCTCTAGGGAAATACCTCCATCTAACACAGGGGTTCAATTATGCTCATAGGAGACATGTTGAAAATAACATGATTTTGGTGCAAGTCCAAAATTAGTCCTAAGCGCTTTTTGGGAGAAGGACAGAATAAACATTTTCCTAAGTGCTTTCCTAAGTTCAGGTTTCAGTGATATGCAGGCTGGCTTTGCACTCATCATCACCAAACAGTGCTCAGAGCTGCAGAACACCTGAGGGCAGGGATGGAAAAACATCTTCCCTGAGCAAAACTGCAGGTACAACAAGAAAAACAAAAACAGAAAGGCTCCTGACCCAGATTTGCTGGGATGGCTCTTCTGAAGGACCATAGTGTATCGTGATATGTCAAACTGTCTCCCCTGCCTGGCCCCTGCCTCTGCCAGTGGCCACTCATGGCCTGAGGGACCAGACCTAGTAAGGGATACTGAGGAAAAGGTGTGCACAGTGTGATCCTGCTAGGAAATCCTTCACTAACTCCTACAAATACGAGCAGGGTCTTGATTACCACCTCTGTGATGTCTCTGAGCACAGCTCCCTTTAATGACTTCACTGGGCAAAGGCCCCAGCTCAGTCTCACCTGGGAGTTTCACCTCTTGCCTTCATTTCCACACACCTCACTGGCTCAGCTGCACTGTGGGAGGCTCTGCTATGGCAACAGCTAACCGGTCAGAACATCCATTGAGATTAACTTAATTCAGCCTGCGAAATAAACCGCAGCCTTTGCCTCAGCTCCTCTGAGAGCCAAACAGTTGGGGCAGGAGTTCCTTGTCTGTGTGCTGAGCTACTGTGGGTGTATGTGAAAGCATCACTGACAACTCGGCCGCAGTGTTTGTGATGTCCCTGTGACATGTGGCACCTCCAGGTGCTGGAGCAGAAACTGTACCAGTGTGTGTACTTTCCACGGGAGCCCTGACTGTGTACGATCAGCTTTGCTTTGCTCCTTCCTTATGGTCACTGGAGATTAATTTTGTTCCTGTGTCAGTAGTTGGTATAAGCACCACTTAAAATCCCATTTCAGCATTATTCTGGAGCTCATGTGGAGCTCATGTGATATCTAGTGCAAACTCTCTTGTCTAGGGGTCAGTTCCAGCACTGATGCATTGGGCCCTTCCCATAGCAGCAAGGAACAAAGAAGACATTAAAGAATGAGGAAGGTAAGATTACAGAACCACAAATATAGTCAAGATTGACCTAGCTGCACCCTCTGGAACAATCTAATATTCTTTTTCAACCAGGCAGTTTTCAGCTCCCTGTGTCTCTTTAATGAAAAAGAGATGTTCATTCAAGTGTCTTCTAAAGATGTAAGGGCACATTTCTGGGTCATCTTAAAGGAACACAGGATGGTTTGGGTTGGAAGGACCTTAAAGGCTGTCTAGTCCCAAACCCCTTGCCATGGGCAGGGACACCTCCCACCAGCCCAGGTTGCTCCAAGCCCCATCCAGCCGGGCCTGGAACACTCCCAGGGATGGAGCAGCCACAGCTGCCTCAGCAACCTGATGGAGTGCCTCACTACCCCCACAGCAAAGAATCTATTCCCAATACCTAATCCAAACCTGCCCTCTTGCAGTTTAAGACCTCTGCCCTGAAATTACCCTGCAATTTAGGGACTAAGAACATCAAAGAACATTAAGCTATAAACTGAACTGAGTTCTAAATGGACCAAAAAGCATGGAGAATAGTTTTCCCTTCTTCCTGTGGTAAAGAAGCAAGTCAGCCAAAATTTTAGGGATAGTTCTAAACACATTTGTTCCCGAGTAAGATCTGACAAACACGAATTTTGGCTGGAAGATGGTTTCCACATCTAACAAGCAAATCCACAAGGAGACTAAATGCAGCAAGAGCCCCAACAGTTGCATTTTGAGATGCTGCCATGACACCACCAAGTCAAAACGTTTGACCTCTCCAGGAAATTTCAATGTAAGAGGAATTGTTGGTTCTGTGGACTTACTCAGGAGGCAGCAACGTGATTCAAGTCATCTGACTCTCAACAGGAACCACGTACTCGTGTTACAGTAAGCTAAAAATGCTTCTTCACAGTTGAGTATTTTGACTGAGAAATGGAATTGTGCACTGAACAATTCACAATGAGCTTTTGCCTGTAAAACAGAGCTCAGGGTGAATGAAATGACTCTGACAGGTCATTATTATTCAGGTGTCTTGATTTATGTTAGTTGTTTTCAGTTTCCAATTCCCTCCCCAGTATATCTTGGCATATATCTCTAGATGCAATCTGCAAGTATCCCACGATGCTTCCCGTAATGCTGACAGGGGCTCTGGAGGGCAACAAACCACCCGAGCCTTGTGTTAGACAACAGGCAGACAAAAACTGCTGACAAAATATAAGACGTGAAACGCATTAAAGAAAAAGACCCAAACCAAACCAGGAGCCAAACACTTCAGCCAAGCTGCCTCTTGCTTTGTGAGCAGTGCCTGACTCTGAGAGCAGTAGCTCCAGAGGCTCCGTGAGGTCAGTGCCACGCGGAACGCAGAGCTGAGCACCAGCAGCCTCTGGAAGCCTCTCATACCCCTTGGCCCAGAGCTGCAAAGACACGATGCTGTGCTCTCTCTCCCTGCCCAGTGACTGAATTGTGACCTGCAGGAAGGGACACTGATGCACTGCAGCTGCTTCAGATGACATACAGCACGTGACTACGTGGACGGAGTGAAGCTTTAAGCTTTTCTCTCTCCTTCACACTTGTCTCGCACAGAGCTCTAAGTCAAGGACAACATAAAGCAGTTTTGACCCGAATCTTAGTGATCTCTGCTAATTCTGAGCTCTCTTGCAAACAAAGGCCCTCAGAACATCCCATTGCTGAGCCTCCCATGTAAAGCCAGCAGCTCCTCATCAGTGCAGGTGCTGCTGCCCATCCTCCTGAGGCCACCTCTACTTCCTGCAGGAGCAACAAGGCCATGATAAATCCTGCTCGGATCATGAAGCGACCAGCGAACAGGAATTCAGATTTCTGGATCGAATCCTTGCAACAGCTGGGGTCAGCCAACAGAAACAGCGTCCATCCATAACAAAGTCTGAACAAACAGACAAACAAACACGTCTTCTCCAAAAACCCAACAAAAACTCAATTTAACAAGGGTAGAAAAGTCAAGCTGTCGTTTCAGTTGTGTGTTCAGGAGCCACTGAAGAGTTCCATGACTGCTCTCAAGCACGTGGGTAAGCTGGAAGTGTTCATCTCCCACAGGAACCAAAGGGATGTAGGTGATGAAACTGCATCCAGGCAGACACAACTGTTGCTATTGCTTTTCGTGACCGTCTCAGAATGGAGTGTGCAGCAGTGACAGTGCTCTGGAGCCGTGAGCATGACTGGCCCCAATCCTAGAAAGCTGACTCTGTCCCTCCCTGTGACCCTCCCCTGGAGTTTGGTGTTGGAGCTCTGTTTGGTTTTCAAGATTTCACCTCTTCACAGTCTTGATCAGTGGAGAGCTCCACATCGGAGAGTCCAACCTCCATTGCCATAATCAATGAAATGTCTGAATCACTGCTGACTGCTGGCTCCTGTTCATCTGTGAGGGCAGAAAAGACAGGAAAAGGTCAGGTCTTTCAGTTAATGGATCACTGATTTTTAGTTCTGCAGGTGGAACCCAGAGATTTCTCCATCACTGAGGTCGTGCTTAGATTCCAAACTTTGCTCTTATTCAAGATCTGTTTAAAGCATTTCAAAAATAAAATTCAAGTCATCATAGTGAGAAACATGGTGACAAGGAGCCTGAGTGGCTAAAGCACTTCCATCTCCTCTTAATCCTCCCAGATCCTTCACAACCTTCTCCCGACCACCTGACCCTGACCACTTTCACTTCCTCCACCCGGCATCAACCTACTCTCCCCACAAAGGTAGCAAGTTAAGGACAAAGTCACAGGGACCTGGTGGAGCAAATCAATCATCAAGAAAACATTCTATGATTCTATGATTCCTAACAGGAAAAAAATCTGCCCAAATCCTCATCAGGTGACAGAGCCTCTGCGAGCGGAGGTGTTTCTAAGAGGGTGCCAGGCTAACGTCTGGAAGGGGCAGCACAGGCACCACCAGCTCTGCACCAGGACTCTGGACCACTTCCCTTCTCAAGTGCCTTCCCCAT